TTTTTTTAATATAAATTTTAATTATTTTTTTAACATATCATTTTCAAATAATTAAACGTACTTTTACATCTTATACAATTTTTTTTGACTTCCATCAATCACATCTGAAAATTTTCAGTCTAATCACTTAATATACATTTCTTACTTTCACTATTACATTTAAATATCATAACTAATATCTCTCTTCTTTGCAATATTTCATATATTCCTCCTTACAAAACTTCTTGTAGTTCTAGTAGCGTAATTTGTTGATTACAGTTGCTCTTCAAATAGTTCGTATATTTCTTCCAATCTTCTGCAAATCTCTGGTCCCACAGGTTTCGAATCCTTCCTGTCATTTTATCCAATTCTGAGTAGTCCATTAATTTTGTCTGTCATTCTTCTTTCGTCAGAATTTCTTCTTGCTTCCATTTCTGGGCGAGCAACCTTCTTTGAAAGGAGACTCCACCCACACAACCACTTCCTTCTCATTGCCGCAGCTTCCTCCAGTGGTGGTTTTAGGGTAGTGTGACAGGTTCAGCGGCGCTAGGCACCAGTGCCATGGGGGTGCTGCAACAATGATGCAGAACGGAGCACAAATAGGTGTGTGCGTCTGTGCATGTGTATGTCAAATTTTAATGTTGCACAGGGTACTGCTGAAATTTGAGAACCCAAACTCCTCCTCTGCTTCCTCTGTCCCATCCTTGGGCAGTGTCCGGATTAACCAGTAGGAATCTGTTGGGTGCTCCTCAATTGGCCTTTGGTGCAGTACCCTGCCTAATCCACAGTGCCCTCTTGTGATTGGTTTCCAGTGGGTTTGGGCTTGTGAATTTGGCAGGAAGTGGATTTGGTCATCGATAAGCACCCCAGAGGCACACTTGGGCATGGGGCCCCTTCTCCAACCTCCTTCCACAATGGACCAGCATGGGAAGCTGTGTGGTCGAGTGCTCCTGGGGACTTGGTGAGTGCCCCCTGCTGAATAGCAGAGATAGGGTACACCGGTCATATCACAAAAACCCATGGCTTCCCTTCTTGGGAAGCTGGGAAACTTTGACTCACGTATCACTGCTAGGCTGATGTAGCACAGGTCAGGCAGTGTTACCCAGCTTGGTAGAATGAAGGTTTACCCTCCTGCTGGCACGCGTTCAACCTACCCACGTTTAGCTAAGTGGGATGCATATCCCCAAGTAGTGTTCAGCAAGTATAATGCTAAAACAAAGCTGGCCTCTGCAGCCTCTTGAGTAACTCTGGCTCTTCCTGGGGATTTTGTATTTTTAACACAACCTCTTGACATCTATGGGACGTGGGTGGCGCTGTGGCTTAAACCACAGAGCCTAGGACTTGCCGATCAGAAGGTCGGCGGTTCGAACCCCTGCAACCCCAGAGTTGGTCATGACTGGACCTAATGGTCAGGGGTCCCTTTACCTTTACCTTGACACCTGCTTCAAGCCTTTGGAATGGAGTATGTTGCACTGCTCACTAACTAAGCAAGCTAAGTGATTAAGCCAATAAACTGGAATGCCCCAAAGCTGCTGGAGAATCTTAAGTAACGCAGATACATTGCAGCACGCCATTTGTACGTGTTTTTACAGCACGTTTTGCTAGGCTGGAAATACTCAGAGCACACCTAGCAAAAGCTATCCCATATCACCCCAGCCTGCAGAGCTAGATACTTGGTGATATCTGTATCTTGTAATGCTAGATGATTTGTTCCTTGTCTGGATGTTTTGATTTTGGTTGAAGAAAAAAACAAGAACCGCCAATGGTATGGAGATGACCTATGGTTGTAAGCAATGAAGGATTAAATAAGATGTCTGGCACTTTGAACTAGGAGAAAGAAAGAAGAAATCAGTGTGGAGCATATACACATATGGTTTTAACAAGGGATGGTATTCACGTGTGTCCTTAAATACCAGAGCTAGCTATATGGTGCTACCCAAAAGGAAGTTGGTTTTGGTTCACATCTTAATGTGCACCTACCTAATTTGTATTTTCTGAAAAAATACACTAGGTCCCCAGTTTGGAAACCAGATCTGGTGTCCAAAGGAAATTTTCATCCCCTCTCCCAAAGTTTCCGATTATTTTAGTGGAAGTGGCAAAAAAGAGTGTAGACACAGTGTATGGAGTATGTGTGTGTGGAGTTCAGCCTGCCGACACGGATGCAAATAGCCTCATTCCCAGTCACCAAATCATTTGATGTGTGGAGAGGCAGTGATAGACACCCCCCCTTAGTTGTTCTGCACAGATCAGCTGAGGGGGGGGGGGCTGCGTGCCAGTGTGTAGGTGCATGTGAGAATGTGTATGAATATTTGGGGTGGGTACACTCACCCCAAATATTCAGCCCTGAGTGCTCACTGGAAGGACAGATCCTGAAGCTGAGGCTCCAATACTTTGGCCACTTCATGAGAAGAGAAGACTCCCTAGAAAAGACCCTGATGTTGGGAAAGATGGAGGGCACAAAGAGAAGGGGACAACAGAGGACGAGATGGTTGGATAGTGTTCTCGAAGCTACCAGCATGAGTTTGACCAAACTGCGGGAGGCAGCGGAAGACAGAAGTGCCTGGTGTGCTCTTGTCCATGGGGTCACAAAGAGTCGGACGCGACTAAACAACAACAACAACAACACTCACCTTTGGCCACACTTAGTAGTTACTGTGACCCCTGGAGGTTGGGTAAGGATGGATGTGTTGCTGTTTGTTGTTGTTGTTTTTAAATGGGTTAGCCCTGCAATATGTAAGCCACATTTTGGGATGATGCTGTTTTCCAACCCAAACCTGTGTACAAAAATGAATGTATTAGGGGAAAGGGGGATGATCATGCAAACATGCAAATTAGGGAATGTAGCTTGCAATAATAATAATAATAATAATAATAATAATAATAATAATAATGTGTATATTAGAAGGAAAATGGACTTAAAACGCTGACAGATGTCTTCATGAGGACATTTTTAAAAAAATGCAAACTGAAATGGTGAACTGAAGACTTTCAAAAACTGAGAAAATGAAATGGACCGATTCATCTGCTCTTAGCTGTAAATATGGGTGCTGGGCTGGTCCTCCCATTGTACAGAATGAAGCAGCTGCTTCAAGCAACAAGTTCTGGAAGGCAAAGGAGAGATGGTGGAGTGTTGGAGAACAGAGCTGTGTCCTGCAATGCTCCTGCTGTCCTGAGGTGCGCTGTCCTGTTGTAACCAGTGCTGAAGCCAGCTTCCATTGCCAGTCTGTTCTGGATGTGGAATGAGGTGTCTGAGTGTGTGCTGTCTTGTCCTTCATCTCAAGCAGCTAAATGTCTTGGTTTAGCCCAGTATGGATGAACGATCATCCTCCTGTTCAGAGGTTGACATTTGCCTGGCTGAAATGTATCCTTAAGCTCCGAAGATGGCTTTTCTTTGTCCGGATGAAGGACAGAGAAAGTGTGCCTGTAGAAACTAACCTACTGCACAAATGCCAAATTTAGATGAGTTGCTGCGCTTACTTTTGCCTCTGGCTCCATCCACCATCCACAACCCTCAGAAATACGTTGCACTAGCAGTGCTAATAGACACCCATAAGATCATAGTAGTGCCTTGACAAAATGATACCCATGTACATAATTTTGAGCCTCATCTGAGCAATAGGCTAGCGGCCAATAATCTGGAGGTGCAAATTCTGGGAAAAGCGTAATACCATCTACCTAATAACCAGTGCATAAAAATATCTTGGCAGGGCTAAAAAAGTGGCAGCCCTGTTCATCTTTAGGTAAACAATCTGATGCAGGTGCCAGAACTACTTTCCCAACAGATAAGAAACTGAAGCTGAGAGATGAACTCATGACTATTTATTTATTTTTTTGAATTTATATACCGCCCTATACCTGCAGGTCTCAGGGCGATGTGTTGACTACCCGATGTGTTGAACCCAAAGGTGCAATCATAGTCATAGTGACTTGGTCTATGAAGGATTAGAGTGCATCTGTTCCAGATTGCACTGATGCGTGTTTCTAGCCAAGTAAAATTCAAATGATTCATTCAAGGGATACAGCTGGTGCCAGCAAGTCAAAAACGAGACCTGTTCTCTCTCTGTATGTTAAGTCCTAAATGAGCACTAGGCTAATAGACGGTAATCCAAAGGTGCCGATTCTGGGGGGAAACACAATAACATTTAATAACTAAAATGTAATTACTAGTGAAAGCTGGATGGTATCAGGCACATGATATCTAGAAAGATTAGAGTCCCCTCTCCCCCAGATCTAATTAATACGTTGCACCATTAATTATCCCTAGCATCAAACAAAAGTGGAGTGTTCCACCCAGTGCTTTTTTTGGGGGGGGTGCGCAGGGGTACGCATACCCCTAAACATTTTGTGAATCAAAGTTTGGCCTCATTGAGGGGCAGTATTTCAATATGAGTAGGAAAAGGAGAGTACCCCTAAACATTTTAATATTTTTTTTTTAGAAAAAAGCACTGGTTCCACCTAGTTTGCATTACTCCTCAAAATACATTATTGAAAAACCCTATACAGTGGTACCTCGGGTTAAGTACTTAATTCGTTCCGGAGGTCCGTTCTTAACCTGAAACTGTTCTTAACCTGAAGCACCACTTTAGCTAATGGGGCCTCCCGCTGCCGCCGCACCGCCAGAGCATGATTTCTGTTCTCATCCTGAAGCAAAGTTGTTAACCTGAGGTACTATTTCTGGGTTAGCAGAGTCTGTAACCTGAAGCGTATGTAACCCGAGGTACCACTGTAAATGTAGAGCAAAAGGTTAGCATAGCCCTCCTTCCGAATTCTTCATTTCTGTTTCCAAATTTTTCCTTTTGATTGCTAGATATGCACTGAACTTTATGTTTTGCTTTCCTATGAGCCAGTCTTAAAGTGCCTGAGGTAAAGGTTAATGCGATATGACTGGTTGAGCATTGGGGCTAGGACAGGGGTCAGCAAACTTTTTCAGCAGGGTCCACTGTCCCTCAGACCTTGTGGGGGGCCGGACTATATTTTTTTGGGAGAAATGAACAAATTCCTATGCCCCACAAATATGCAGCTGTCTCTCACGAGGATTGAACCTGCAACCTTGGCGTTATCAGCACCATGCTCTAACCAACTGAGCTATCCAGCTGATCATATCAACACCTATCAGCCGCAGTCACCATGACCAATGGCAAGGGATCCAGCAGCATCTTGAAGGCCACAGGTTAGCCATCCCTGGCAGACACCTTCCTCTTGGAGCATGGAGGGCATTCTCCAATGGCTGAGCTTCGTTGACCCAAGCAGGTCCCCGTGTGCCGTTGACATAACCTGTATTACAAGCCCATCCGAGACAAAGGACCGAGAACCGTCATAACCCAACGTAGCTCTGTTGTAGTTTATAGTGAACAGATAAGTGAGGGGGAGAGGGGTGGGGAGAGAGAGACAAAGCGACAAGATGAAAGATAATTATTGCTTTCAAGCCTGACTGTGGTGACTTCTTAATTGCTTCGATAAAGCAAATTTCCACACTGCAAAACTTATTAGAACAGTCTCTGCATTCATCTCTCCTCGCTAGTAAGCTTGTTCACAGCAACACCCACTGGAGGCAACAAGCAGTCGCTGTTATCGCTGCAGACGGGATATGGCACAATGATACAGTGCTGTTAGCCACAGAGGCCTAGGCACAGATGCCTGTAACATTAGGTTCAGGGGTTGTCTTCGCTGTCCAAATGCAATGCTTGAGATTACTTAAAAGCAAAGACACCTAAAGTTTGTCAGCTTGAACCAATTTGTCAACTGAATGCAAGGAAGATTTTTTTTAAGGCAAAAAATTACGTTTCTCTATTTTTTGCTGTTTAGGGCTCAATCTAGGACAGGCCTGTGGATAGCAATGGGTGGGTCTGTCACTTCGGTTTCGCTCAGTTTCTCGTTTTTTCCAATTTTAATCTCATCTCTGTGTATCAGTTTGCTTAAAAGAAAAGTCTTCACAATAATCAGCATTTAGTGCGCATTTCACCTAACCTACACATTTTTGTATGCCTCTTATACACGTATCAGCACATCGGTGTTCCCTAATGCATTTTTCTTTTGTGTTAGATCTGCTAATGTGTACATTTTTTGCACACTTTCCCATAGCGTATGTATTTTTGTACTTATCATTTGGCTGAAGAACTGCATTGCGAACCGAGGGGGAGTGCAGATTTCGAAGGACGGCGGCATCTTTTGCAGTGTATATTGTTCCAGGAAATGCAAATTTGGGCTGTTTGCATTAAAAGACAAACTGAATGGAATCCCCAAATCCATTCCTAGCTGTAGATAACAACAACAACAACAGCAACAACAACAATGTAATCAACTGGAGGGTCGCAGGTTCCCAATCACTGATGTAGACATACTTCTCTATGGTTCCATCTGCACTATACATTTAAAGCAGTATAGTACCACTTAAAACTGTCATGGCTTCCTCAAGAGAATCCTGGGACCTGTAGTTTGTTAAAGGTGCTAAAAGCTGTTAGGAGACCCCCTATTCCCTTTGCAGAGTTACAATTCTCAGAGTGCTTTAGCAATCAATCCCTGTTCCCTGTTCCCAGATAACTTCATGGTTTCCCAAACTTAGGTCTCCAGCTGTTTTTGGACTACAGTTCCCTTCATCCCTGACCACTGGTCCTGCTAGCTAGGGATTATGGGAGTTGTAGTCCAACAACAGCTGGAGACCCTAATTTGGGAAACCCTGTCCTAGTCTGACACTCTAACCACTGCTCCACACTGGCTTCCTAGAGCACTTCTGCTATGGGGCAGCTATATAAATTAAGTAGGTGAATAAATATGGGGAAAGCAAAAAGGATACTTAGAGAAACAACTGGAATATTTTCCTTGAAGCTTGGGTTTGTTTTATTCTGTATTGCTTTATTTGATATTTTAATGAGTTGTAAACCTCTTTGCGATTTTTTTCTTTAAAATACCAAGCAGCATAGAAATGAAAGTAATAATCATAATAAACTTCATTGTTAAAAAAGAAAGGCACTAAGACAATCTGTTGTGGCAGCTGTAACCTAGGTTAAAGGTGTTATTTGGTGAATATTTTACAGATTTGAGTTTCTAACGCTGGCTTAAAGTGGTACAATACTGCTTCAAATGTAGGGCCCCAAAGGCAAAAACTCTTTTCCCAACAGGCATAACTAGATCTAATAAGCTGAAGTGTAAGGCTGTATTAGCTGCGTTTTCAGAAGCAAAGTAATAAAAAAACAAAAAACACAAAAACAAAATTGCACAACACCAAAGCAGAAACCATGCGAAAGTCGTGCGTTCGAACGTTAAGTCTATAAGGCTTCCCTGAAAACAGCCCTCCGATGAGCGTCAAATCGGGAAGACCGATCAGCCCAACATGAAAGACTCGAGTGTTGCGTTGCTATGTGAGCTTGGGGTATAATTTTGCAAGCTGACAGGAGTGAAGCATCTCCTCAATATCTGTATTTGGCAGAAGAGATGAATGCATACATCAGGAAACAATGTTTAAGTGTTTTATTTCCTTATTTCAGCCTGACAACCTGTCAGCGTAGTTAATGGCCACCAAGAGAGAGGGAGGAATGAGGGGGAGGGAAAATAAAGCGAAAGGAAACAAAGGTGCAGATTTTTTTTAAAAAAAAAAAAGGAAAAGAAAGGAAAAAAGAACCAAAAAGGGGGTTGGGGGTTGGAGAGAGGCAGAAGAAAATAAAATACTTGTGGGGCATCAAATCCAAATGGATATTTAGGAACATAGGATGCGGCCTTGTACTCAGACTGTTGGCCCTCCAAGCTCAGTATTAGGTCAGTCACCCCAGAGCTGCCTGGAAGAAGGAGACTCCAACTCCCATCAGCACCAGCCAGCGTGTAGAGCTGTCAGGAAGGATGGGAGTTGTAGTGCCATGTTGACTACGTGCTATGCCCCAACCGTGGGACTCCTCATCACCAAGTCCTGGGTCAGGCTCCACCTTGGGGTGAGGAGTCAGGATCCTGCAACAAGGCCAAGGAAGGTCTGTCTGCACCCAGGGGGGATTCAGCTGCAGAGGGAGAGGTGGAACCTTAAATGCCAGATGGAAACTTGACCCATCTGGAAAAGTGCCCAATTACACTTTGTTTTCAGTGTTGAAGGTCATCAATTTAGAATTGGTAACATTATGTATCTCTATATCTCTATATCTATCGCTATCATCTATCTATCATCTATCTATCTATCTATATCTATCTATCTATCTATCTATCTATCTATCTATCTATCTATCTACCTACCTATCTATCATCTATCTATCTATCTATCTATCTATCTATCTATCATCTATCTATCTATCTATTCACACACACACACACACACACACACACACACACACTGATCAGAAGGTCAGCTGTTCAAATCCCCACAACGGAGTGAGCTCCCGTTGCTCTGTCCCAGCTCCTGCCAACCTAGCAGTTCAAAAGCACACTGGCGCAAGTAGATAAATAGGTACTGCTGTGGCAGGAAGGTAAACGGCATCACAGTGTTCCATTGTGCCACATGACCCAGAAAGCTGTCTGCCGACAAACGCCGGCTCCCTTGGCCTGAAAGCAAGATGAGCGCCGCAACCCCATTGTTGCCTTTGACTGGACTTAACCGTCCAGGGTTCCTTTACCTTTACCTTTTTCCACACACACACACACACACACACACACACAGGTATGTGTGTGTGAGGCTGCCGTATCTGAGTTTTATTGTCTTGGGGGATTGTGGTAAGAATTGTAAATTGAAAGATGGAAAGAGCTGTGATGGGAAAGGGTTCAATTAGTATGTCTTAGAATTCCCTCCTACAACAGATGAAGGACAGATATAACAGATGAATAAGTTGTGAAGTCAACCTTTCAAACAGCTATGTGTTGGGAAGTATGAGAATTCAGTGGTGGCTGGTCCACTGGGACAAAGGTGGCACCTCAGAAACCAACAGCACCTGCTAACTTCTTCCTCTTGTGTCTCAGTGTTGCCCTTGTAGAATCCAGCAGGGAAGAGGTATATGGACTAAATTAGGGAATTAGCTGGCTCTGTCTTTCATTGGCTCTGTTTCCACCTGCTACTTGGACTCACTGCCTCCTGCCCTGCCAGTCTCAACGAACACCAGCCACCACTGATTCTTGTCATTTATTTTTAGGATGGAATCTGTGGTTTTGCCATTCAGTTTTGTTTCTCACAGAAGTTTTGCCAAGTAATTTCCTGGGCATAGAACAGTAAGAACTTAAAAAGTAAAATAAAAAAGACACACATGCACAGAGAGATCAAAGGACATTAGCCTAGAGAACTATTCAAAGAACATAATGTGTACAATTGTTTTTCTTATCAAAGACACAGCGTTATCACACACCTCTATTATTCTTTCTTGGGTGCTGTCCAGGCCCATTCATATGCTCCTTTGAGGTGCATCATGCCCCAAAGTTCCAAGGACATCTCATGGCTGAGTCGAGATTTGAACCCAGATCTCTCAGGTCCAGCTCTCAAACCACATTTTACACTACTGCTGTCAAGTTTACTGCTTAGCGGAAATGAACTGGGGGACCGAATGTAGGTACCAACTAAGAAGAAAAAAATCATTCAACATGCAACAGCAATAGCCTCTTCAAACAAATCTTAAGTTTGCTAAGTTACTTATGACAGGAAGTCTCCCACTGTCAAGACGAGAAGGGATTTTACTGAAGGAAGTCTTCTTCTGTTGGAGGAAAGGAATCTTTGCATCCAAGCCTGTGCAAACATTCTTAGCAGATCAGAATATTAAACATCCTTTGCGCTGAATGAGACAAGGTGCATGTGTGAATCCGAGGTGGCTTGACTTATCATTGCAAATCACTCCCTGGAAGTTCCTTTGTGGCTAGGGGACCATCTGCCCAAGCACAGAGCCTGGCAGCGGTGAAGGGGTTAAGTCACATCTGACATCTGGTTTGCCCATGTCAAGCAGCAGAGCGGCTTCTCTAGAAGGAGGAGCGTGGAGGTAAAGAAAATATCGGACAGAGTCTATGCTCTCTGCAGATAATAATAATAATAGCAGCAGCAGCAGCAGCAGCAGCAGCAACAACAACAACAACAAAAACCCTGCCTACTTTCTCACAGATGTAAGTCCTGGCAATTTTCCACTGAAAATTTTGGACGG